AGACTAAGTTACGACAGCAGAGAGTAATCACAGGAACAAGCTTTAAGCACAAGATTAATAGAGGCTACTACACCAGGCAAGACTCCAAGTTCAGGTCGTGCAGGTATGCCCCTGAGACAATCCAGCACATAAAAACAAGGTGCAAGATGCTAGCAGGGAGTTACATGGAACTAAGTGACTAGCATAGTACAGGAACATCTCTGCCAAATATGGCCCACGGACTAACCTCTCGGGTGTTTGAGAATGACCGAGCCAAAATCCTGAGGGACTTCCAGATACAGACAGAAAACCTGCTAATGGTTAAACAACAGGATGTAGTGTTGGTGGACAAGCAGAGGACGAAGGCCGTAGCGACAGTTAGGTGATAGCAACATAAGGAAAAATGAACATTAGAAGAAACTGCAGGGGCTTAGAGAATACCTAGAGAAGATGTGGAATTTGAAGGCAACGGTGGTCCCTGTGGTACAAATCCAACCTGAAGGGCATATTTACTGTCAACATTTAATATTATCCCTTCAATTTCCAGCTTCAAACTCATGAGCCTTTTGGACACTCTCGTCACAATCCTGTTTATATCCTCTTTCTTCTACCAACACCATGGTAGAACAGCTTGAATCTGCCTCCAGTGCTCCTGGCCTTGCCTCCCGTTTATCTGGTTTTACACAGTATATTTAGTTTTCTTCTCTCCATCATGTAAGCGAACCCTTTCCCTTTATCATAGTCCTAGTTCCTATCATCAGGGACTTTAAATGTCCTTTCCCACTTAACAAACCTTCCTCTTCCTTTGTCTTCAGCCAGTGGTGGCACAGTTTCCACTGGCTGTTTTCCACTGGATCCTAATGGGAATATTAGCATGCTTGAAATAGTGTCCTTTCTCCTTTGGGCATTGATGTACTGCCCTGTTGACCTGGTCTCCTGCATGTCTATGAAAGTTTATAGAGAGGGTAAAAGGTCTTAGCGTTTGATCTTTTTAAGGGTCCACTGTGTTGCACAGCATACACTATATGGTTTAGGTTGTGCTTTGTCCTGGAGAGGAACGGGTTTCATCTGAGGGCTTTGCTGGTTCTGAACTTCACTGGGACGCTTGGAGAAAATTCTCGAGTTTATCTTATAAAGTTATCACATAAGGGAAAACAAAGTTGTTCCTTTTGCCTCCCTGGTTAATTACTTTTTGTGTCAGAAACTAAAGTTTCTGAAAACATATTCTTTTTTTGCTTTAAGAATACTTAATTACTCATCTAGTCAAGTTGAAAAACTGTCGAAGAAGTAGGCGTATACTGTCAGTCTACAAGCAAGAGAACAGCTCCATGAACAGTTGATTGAAGGTAGTAGCATTTTTAGGACTAGCAGAACATTGCAAGCCATGAAACACCATATAACAGACAGACTGAAGCACCCATGGCTTACCTGTTATCGCACCTGAAAGAGACTAAAAGATCTTAACATCCAACCTTGTTGTTAAAAGTGGTACAGAGTGCTAAAACAGAGTGCAGCATGTGCAAACACCAAGAAGCCACTAATCTAAAAGAATGTCTGACTTTAAAGTTATGATTTAATAAAATAAATTGCATTGATTATATTCTGATCAGCAGACACGGAGTTCTGAAGAGAAAGGGTCGAAGAAAGCATTTCTGTGCAACTGGATTAAAACCAAATTATGTGGACATGGATGTTCATGTAAGAATGAAGTGAGGACAAATCTGAAGATAAACTGCATGAGCTGAATGAAGCATTAAGTGTATCCATATGTGATAGATTCTGTTCATCTGGACGTCTGGAGTTTCATCACTTATCGAAGTGACTTCTTCTTCTTGGTGTTCGCTCTGTGTTGTAGCGTCCTGATGACGCCCAGTTTGTGCTCCGGTGGATGATGAGAGTCAAACCTTAAATCCTGACCTGTATGCGTAGGTTTACGGTACACGTCAGCTTTGTGTCATGGGGGGCAGGGCTATGGTTCCCCCCACTGTTATTACCTTTTTTTGCTATGGTCTGCCCCGTTAGTATAACAGTTTAACCTGTGTTGTGTTATTCAGTCATTTCTGTTAGTGTGAACATACTAATGCACAAGGAAAAAAAGAAAAATAATTCTCTGTAACTTATTTCAAAAAGGAAAGCTTTTATATAGCCCAGTCAGAGCAAATCAACAGTATAAATACCACATATCTCTCGCCTAGTTCAGTAAACACATCTGCAATCACGGGGAAGTCTGCTAACTTGATAGCTGTGCAGGTGACAAACATCAGCACCCTCCATCACCCACAGATGGTCGCTGCTGAATAGGCTGGCTGTTCACAGAGTGCTGTATCAAAACACATTAGTGGAAACTTGAATGAAGAGAAAAGGTGTGGTAAGAAAAGTTTCTGAGACAAAAAATTTACATGTTGGTTTGTTAAGAAGCTGATTCAGGAGCAGGTGACAGGTGAAGATGGTCCAGTTTGGTGGTACTATGGTGTTGGAAGCTGAGCTGTAGTCCACGAAGAGCATCCTCATGTAGATCTCCCTGTTCTCCAGATAGGTCAGCTCTCACTGAAGGATGATGGTCGTGGCATCCCCGTTTGCTCTGTAAGCAAACTGATGAGGGTCGTGGGAGGGGTTTAGACAGCCTCTGATATGCTGAGACACTATCTGCTCAAAACAATCCTGACTACAGACGTGAGGGCTACAGGTCTGTAGTTGAGGATGTCTATACCAGTCTGTATCAGCCTCAAACTGAGCAAAGAAGGTGTTGCACTCCTCTGTGAGTTTTAGGCTGCTGTCGGGGGTTGGGGGGCTTGGATGCCTCTCCACACCTGGTGGGGGTTGTTGTCTCTGAGGAAGCCCTCCTCAGGTTGGCTGTAGAGAGAACTGTCCCTCAGCCTGAAGGCTGAGTTCTGTGTTCTGATCAGAGCCAGGACTTTACTCGTCATCCAAGGTTTTCGTTTAAGAAAAACCTGGATGGTTTTAGTCACTGTCACATTCTCTACACAGCACTTAATGTAGAAGAGCACAGACTGAGTGAAAGTCTCCACGTCAAGATGTTCAAAGATGGACCTGTCAGCTCAAACCAGTCCTGTAGCTGGAGCATCATCTGGTCATGTTTTAATTTGCTTGTAGGGGTTTGTTTCTTGAGGGGGTGGAGGCAGGGATGAGGAGTGGAGAGAGGTTGTAAGATTGTCCACAGTGGCAGAGGGATGTTGCACTGATGCTACTGTACACACAGTCCAGTGTCCTGTCCCCACTGGTAGGACACTTAAACATGCTGGTGGAATTTGGGGAGTACAGCTGTCAAACATGGCTTATTAAAGTTCCCAGCAACAACGTGGACGCCCAACAGGTCCCTCTCTGCTGTTCACTTATAATAAGTTGGAAGTGGTTGGGTGCTAACGTTAGCATTCGGACGAATGTAAACAATGGTAACTATGGTTAGTGTTAGCTCATGAGGTAGATAAAATCGCCTGCGCTGAATGGACATGGCCTGGTTTGGTTTCGCCACTGGATTGGATAGACAGCTCTTCATCCTTGCTCTTGTTTCCTCTCCCTGCGCTGTTTGCATCACTTGCTGAAATAACAAATGGAGCGCCCGGTCGGTCCAATCTGAAGTAAAGTCTGGGTTCAGGCAAAGGACGATGCCTGTTAGTTCCTGATGACTGAAAGTGATCAGTGCGTTGCAGGAGGATGCAACGAAAAGGCAGAAGAAACATAAAAAGTGCACAGTAGTTTGGAGCTGCAGGGGACTTTGAATTCAGCTCAGTTTTATATAAAGTTATATATTATTAGTTTATGATGGTTTGTTTTGTAATGTTTATGTTTCCAAATCACAACAACAGTTGCTTCCCAGTGTTTCTCCTTCACTCACCCCTTCATGTTTATATATCACTTTGAATGGAATCATTAGCTATTGTAAATCTCTATTATGAGTCTCTGCTGTCTACGTCTCCTCACCTCCATCAGTCAGAGCAGATGGCTGCCTGGTTCTTCCTGTTAAGAGAGTTCATTGGTAACATTAAGTTCATGTAGACATGTAGTCCCATGTATACAGTTTTTAGTTGTGTAGCAAGTAGCAAAAATATATTGAATAAAATAGCAATAATGCAAACTTTTGTCTGTATTTGTGTTGTTGGTGCTCAGCCACTGAAAATACATGACTCAGAAAATACAAAAGATTTCATTGTAGTGAAGATAAACAGAGTGTTAAAACAAGGAAATCTGGCCATAAAAGCCGTTATTTGTCCTTCATGTACATGCATGTTTTGTTCTTTAATGTTTTTGCTTCCATATTTGGTCTTGTCCCGTTTCCTGTTCAAACATATACATAGTTTAACCTCCATCAGACCAAGCGCTGTTGAAATATTCAAACAGCATCATGTTATTGTGTCTTTCACCTGCACACTGTGTATGAGAAGCTTGCCCTGTTTGCAAATGTGTTGTTCAGTTATACAAACTGTGTTCTTGCCCATGGAGTTTGAACTTCTTGTAGGTCTTATAAAAATGAACATTTAAATCCATTTTTTGGATCCATTTTTCTCCGTCTCTGGTCTCAGCTCCTGTCAGTTGTCGGTGTGTTTTAATGTCACCAAACAAAAGCTCATCTTGAACAGTCTGAACTTCTTCAACTGATGTTTCAAGGTCTCATTTGTCCTCTATCTGCCACTTTTTGCGTAATCTACAGTAAAACAAACAAACAACAAAAAGCTAACAGTATGGCATTGTTTACATACAAATCAAATAGCTGATTAGTCAATTATCAATTTTCTTTCGTCTTACTTGACTCCAAATGTTTTCAGAGATGTCAAATTCCTTAAAATGTATTTTTCCGGTGACTAGTGGAATTGGACGGGTGAAATAAGAGCATACGGAGGCCTGATTAATCAGAGGCCAAACTTCTCTGCAATAAAATATTACATTCAGGGTCGCTGTTTATTGAGCGTCAAAATAACATGAAATAACACATGTGAGGGTATAAAGTCTGCTGTTGCACGTTAATGGAATCTGCAACGTCACTGTCCTTGGAATACAGGTGCTAAAAGGATGCAAGACGCTGAACATGTCTGTGTGCTCCATGGGACCGACTCCTGGCGGCTACATCACCAACAATCTGTACAGCTGGGTGGACCCACAGGGCCGGAGTGTCTCCCCGCCACCTGATAGCCAGGAAGACAGTCAAAGGCACGGGCACAGGATGGACGAGCGAACGGTAAGAACAAAGTGGAATTGTGTATTGGTGGTGAAATATGGAGGACCAGCAGATTGAAGTATACAAACACTTGAGACTGTTGTCACTGGAAACAAAGATGTTGCGAGAGTTCTTTTAAAGCAGCTGTCAGATTCAGAACTATTTATTATCAAGGATTTATTACCAGGTTTTTGCAGCGGTCCTCCTCCTGCGTCTGACAGCAGTCAGCTTGGGACTGCAGTATATTCCTCTAAGGTCCTCATGACCTTTGCTGCTGACATTTTGAAAGACAGACTCATCCTAAAATAAAATCACCCAGCACAGGTCTTTCATCCAGTGACTGCTGGCAAAGAAAAGGTTTGCTCAAAATGACTCACCAAAAAATCAATCCTGTTACTTTGCATTGTAACTCTACATTGTCATTTGCTGTTCCCATAGTAGACCAAATTTGAGAGGATGTCACTGTTATATGAGTGTAATTATGTGCAAAGTCTGGAAAGAAAACCAGTGAAATTGCTGAAAGATGTTAAATGTTTGTCAAAGCTCTCACTTATAGAGAACACCATTGTTGAAGATGCTTTCTCGGGGAAAACAGACATTCATGTTTGAAAGTCTTTAAACTGAATCTTTCAGAACTCTGGTCTCTGCCGTCATGCAGTGTCTTCAGGTCTACACACATGCAGGCAACATGTGGGTGATGGCAGCATAGAAAATCAACTACGTATAGACAAATTATCCAAAAGTTCCTCAATCAGTATAAATATAAGAAAATGTAATAAATGAAAGGAGAAATAAATTACTTTATGTTGTTCACTTCATACTATGAGTAAAGATGTACATACTTGGACTAACCTTGGATTACATGATATTCAAAGTCTTACATTGGAGCCACAGAGTCACAAAGTTCAAATGTTGCTATTTTAAAGCATCCAGCCTGCAGCAGAGAGTGAAAGACGATCTCGTGTCTGAATTCAAAACAAATCTAAAGATGTATTGAGAGCACAAAGTAAACTCATCAGGTGAGTGTTTTCACAGTCCAGTTACTCATCCTGGTAATATGTGTAAGAACAACCTGTACTGTCACCAACTGTATTTATCCTGCAATATTACATTTATTACAGTACATATCCAAGGCTGGATTTTTCTCAGCTATAAGGTCTAGCTCTAAGTCAGCTGGGATAGGCTCCAGTGCCCCCAGTGCCACCCTGAAAAGGATAACTGGAGGTGGATGGATGGATAAGGTGGAGGTCCATATCGCCTGGCAAGAAAATTTGTCAAGAAAGTTGCTTTGACAGCAGGCTGTCTACAGTCCTACTGATCATCAGAGACCAGCTCAAAATGGACAGGTTTCAGATTATGGTCTGTTTCCTTTTGATGAAGACCCTAGAAAAGGCCTTCGGTTGGAGTCTGGAAGGATCCTGGACTATTACATTCTCCACAATGGGAATTATTCGTGAATACAAGAAATGCAGAGACCACAGAAAAATAAAATGCTGGATGGAGCTTTTAACACCATCATGGTGAAAGACAGTAGAAGAGCTGTTTGTGATAATTTTGCTCCGTCCTCATGAGTGAGTGCACGCAGTGTCCTCACGAAGTGCAAGAGTGCACCCGCCACAGAAGCGAATCACCGCCCAAACACCAACTCATACCAGTGTGATGAAAAAGCTGCACTGCATTGGACAAACACTGGAAATGGACTCTCGGTGATGTAAGAGGCATCAGTAGAATTCAAACCTTTCAGAGAGTATCTGTCATTCAGTTTTCTTTGGTTTAAATCAGTGAGGATGAATAGAAATCACCTTCACATAGGGCTGTTCGATATAAGGATATATATCGTGTGACGATATAAAAACGTCTGTCGTTTCATTTTACGCTGTCGTTTGTTTCGTGGTGTCGCAAAATAAACTGTTTACGGCAATATTTGTTCATCGTTCTGATGTCACTGTAGTGGCTGTATTCATTTATTAAAGTTCTCTCTTTCTCTTATATTTAATATAGCCACACTACGGACAGACAAGCGCCTGTTTTTATGCGTTGTCGTTAGCAACAACGACGGTAACACCATCGCGTGTCCGCTTGTTTATGTTCCACATAAACCTTTCACAATAAAGCTCAAGATCCTGTTGAGACTTTTCAAAATAGTCACTTGGATGAGTGACGAAACGTTTCTCCCACAAAACGCTACGTCCAGATGAACAGAATCAACTTTTGGAGATTTACTTTCCTGGATGATTGCACGTGCATCAAGACTTTTCAAAATAAACTGAATCACGTGAAAGATTATTTACGGATGAGAAGTAAATAAGAGTAAAAAAGTAAAAGTAAAAAGTAAGTAAAAAATAAACCTTAGACTCAAACGTTAGAACAGGCTTTTCCCCGCAGCACGCCGTGTAATAAATACGGCTTATGTCTAAAAATGTATCGTTTCATGCATCTGTTAAAACGCTCGACTCCGGGTGAAGGACGCGCAGCTGGAAACACTTCAGGCAAGTCGAGCTGCCCGAGATTCACAGAATTTACAGGAAATGTTACATTGCTGTGATTTATATCGGGATATGAGATTTTGGTCATATCGCACAGCCTTACCTTTACAATTACTATGTAAGTAATTCAAATCAACACGTTGATATTCTTAAATAAAGTTGCTGGGGCAAAATATCAGTCACAAATCTCTTCCCATCTTCATTTTTCCTCCATGGATAGATGACTCAAATAGTTTTGGATCAACACGGGTGCAAAAAAGAAAAAAGCAACTCTTTTTGTCCTGTAGTACTACAGACTGTCCAGTATTGGCGTCTTTATGGGGGAATCTTTTGCCCTCCAGCAGCAGTATTAGTAGTAGCAGGAAGCACAGCAGTGCAGTGTGGCTGTGAGCTTTTTGTCACAAGTTTTGATGTTCAATTTGACCTGTTCAGCCTTTATACTAGAGATGGCACCATACCACTTTTTTATGTTTGATACCGATACTGTATATCAGATTGGTCCATCTCTACTATAACCCCACTTTTTATCTTGTGTCAGCTTGCATGGTCTCCCTTCCGTAGTGGCAGACTGTTGAATTGGGTGGTCTTTATGGTCTCTAAAATTATATTGGTTTGCAGAATAAACTGATCACTTACTATATGCCCAACCATTGTAAACTGAACACCGAATGAAAACAAAATCTAATACATAGACAAGACAGTTCACTCAGTGAATAGTTTGCTATTAGAGTAGACACAGATGAGTATGCAGACCAGGGGCTGTTTGTCCACCTCAAGTCACTGAGTTTCAGAGCTTCTGCTTCTCTGATGGAAGGATATTCAGATCAGTGTCTTTCCAGAAATAATGTTTAAATCCACTTTGGTTAACTGACTGAAATGAGATCAACTAGTTAAAAAAACAACAACAGCATTTTCTAATGGATGGGTTGTAATGTATTACAAGTTAATTTGGTTATTGTGTCGTTAATGTTAATGTGTTCACAGTTGCTACTTAGTTAAATCAGAGATACTCTCACAGTGCAGCATTTCAATTCCTGAATGAATCATTAATGGACTGCAAGGCTCCAAATGTTGTCACAACTATCTCACTTACCTACCTGTGATTGGCTGAGGGCATACAGCGGGTAGGCTAGTGTGTGTGTGTGTGTGTGTGTGTGTGTGTGTGTGTGTGTGTGTGTG